AAAAAAAGGCAAAACACAGGGGGGTAAATGTTTGTTATGTAAAGTCAAAACAATGTGCTGAGTGTGCCTCATTGATGAGTAGATTTGCAGCATGCAAAGCTCATGCCACTTCTTACCTTAACCTTTGGTCCCTTTGTTTTTTTTCCGGTGCGTCATCACTGGGCTTAGCCTGAGCAGTTTGGGACGGTTCTGACACCTTAAAGGAGAGTTTTTGGATGTACTGGAAGGCATGTTGACATATATTGTTAGGCTGGTCTAGTATTTGAGGAATGAATTTTATAGGTTCTCGTCTGAAAATGTAGAATAAAGTGAACAACGTCTGGTTGTTGTTTGGGAAGCCAGCTAGTTTTGCTTTTACTTTACTAAGGTGAAACATTAAAAGAAGAAAATCTTTGCAGATACAGATCGTACTGTATCATGTTTTACAAAGTGTCCAAAATGCAAATATTGTTTCTTTCCCTGCAACAGTACAGCATGTGAGGCAGCCATATTAAAGAAAAAAAAATAAAAAAAGAAGATCTTGGGCTCATTTGGGGATATTCATCAATAGTCTTTTTTCTATTGTTTTTTTTTTTTTTTACTTAACTTGTTTTCACGTGGATCTTGGAAATTTCACCTGTTTCCACTAAATGAAAAACACCAATATACAAAAAAGAGATGGAAGGGCTCCAGATAAAGCCTCCTTTGCTCCCTAAATTGCTCTAGGAACACTGAAGATTTTTGCAGATATAGAATAAAACTAAGGAGGTGTTATGAAAGATGTATGGAGCAGTTTTGCTTGGTAACATCTGTAAAAATTCAGTGCAGTGCAATATGTCTTTGCTCTTACAAATGTTTCTTGCAGGGGACCATTCACTTCTTAGTAATAGTACACACTGTAACAGCTGATTCTTGTTTCCATGCTTTTGCTGCACTAGGCGGATGCTTCACATTAGAACAGAAAAATGAGTAAAAATCAGATATCTCAAATGAAAAGTGAATACTTTAATTTTGTTAAATATTTCCATAAAATCTGTAAATAACAGTTTAATGTTACAATTGAGGTGTTTGGAAAAAAGACTACCACAAACATGCAACAAAACAAATTAATTTAAGGAGAGGGGATGTTTTTATGGTTAGAACATAATTAGAATGAAAATCAGAAAATGTTTTATTGCCAGGTAGTGTTTTACATGCACAAGGAATTTGTGTTGGTGATAAGGTGATACACAGAGAAGTAGAGTTTGAGAGACCTCTACTTTCACAGCCTGAAGTGACCCAAATCCGATTTTTTATTTTTTTTTGTCCATATCCGACCTGTATCTGATCTTTTCATGACATCTGATCTGAACGAAACAGATGTTTTTCAAATGCGACCCAGGCTTTTGGCTGTGTGGTCCTAAATCCGTTACATATCTGATCTTTTCAATTCATCTGACCTGAACATCATTATTAGTCTATAAAGGTCCCTGTTCTGCGTTCTGCAACACAGCAGCAGGCGAGAGCCATGATGGGTGATAACGTACAGAGCAGGCCTTGTTTTTGATCTTTTTGAAAAGATTTAGTTAATTCACTGACTATGATTGGAAAACAAATGGTAGAACACTAGCAGTGGTGAACAAAGTACTCAACAGTAGCACTTGGGTAAAAGTATTGATACTCATAGTCAAATCTTACTCAACTACAAGTAAAAGTTACTCAGTCAAACATCAAATCAGGTTAAATTATTGAAGTACTCACTTTTAAAAGTAATTAAGTATTCAAAAGTACTAATTACATTTTCTAATATCAGTAGATTTCTCTATAATTTTCATAATAATTTTAAAGAACCTTGTAACTTTCAGAAACCACTTGATGTATTGATGCGTATAACCACCTGCTACAGATTGTACACCTTTAAAGTACTTGAGCATAAAAAGGCTGAGGAAAGCTATTTTTCTATTTTTTTTTTATTTAAAAAACATACCAAAAAGAAAACAAGGAGTTTCTTGATTCTCCTCACACTTATGGAATAGAGGTTTAAGGTTCAGTCTATTACCACCAAGCTCCAACTCTGCTTTGAGAACTCATCCGACTGAGCAACTTGGCCACATGGCAACAACTAAGGCCTTGATAAAATTTATAAACTACAAATAATATCGGCCCTGAGTTTTTCACAGTTATGGAACGTCATTAAATCTCTAAAACATCGGTGTCCAAATTCAGTCCTGAGGGCGGCTATCTTACATTTTGAAATGACATTTCAAGAAAGAAAAACTGCAACAGCAGATTACAAAGCTAGCTGAGCCAAAAGTAACAAGTAACTAGCAGCTTCCTAGAAATGGAGTGGAGTACAAAATGAGAGTGGAGAGGGATTGTATTTGAGTCAATGCAATCAACTGGTTTTCCTTACATAGAAAACTTTGAATCAATTTGACTGTATGATCTGGTTGAATTGTAAAGTGCCTTGAGATGACTTGTGTTGTGTATTTGGCACTATATAAATAAACTGAATTGAATTGAATTGAAAGTACAATATATGACTTTGAAATGTAGTAGAGTAAAGGAACTCCAAAAAATACTCAAGTAAAGATACAAAAAAAGTAGAAATTAAGTGAATTTACCTTGTTACTTTCCAACACTGAATGCTAGATGCACCCAAGCACTACCATCCATGTTTACTTCTGTTAAAAACAAAGCACACTTACTACTTGTGATGACATTGTGTCCTCTACTGCGCATGCGGGACACTCTAGCTGTACGAAGCAGTTCACACAGGGGATCAGATAGAATTCACATATATTTGGAAACGTGAAATAGCATGCAAAACACTGTAAATGCTCGGAATTGAGCATTGTGGCTTAGCAGTGTAAATATAGCCTATGGTCACTATGCTGTAAGGTAGCATCATGGTCTGCAGTTCGCTTTTTGCCTGGATCATATTGCTGGCAAAAATAAATAACGAACTGCTTTGAACATCAAGACTGATTTGTGTCTTTTGAGCTTTTATCAGAAGTCATTATGTTATGATACGTTCACACCATATGCGCTTTGAGCAGCAGAAGCAGCGGATTTACATGTAAAGTTGATAGCTGATGCGCATCAAGGGGCATCAAAAGGTCCTGTAGCATGTCTCGACTAACAGGAGCAGCGCATCTCGAAGCATCTTGAGCTTCTGGACATCTGAGGTGTGTGACCCGCTTCACAAGCAGCAGCTGCTGGAGTTGGATAAATTTTTTTGTGCTGCTCGAAGCACCACATCAACCAATCAGAGAAGATGACGTGGGTACTGGCAAGGAGATGCAGACTGCTATGATCACTCCCCTGAAACAGTTTATTAACGCCTTAAGCAACTTAAATGTTCCAAACCTGCTGGAGAAACATGTACCCTTCTATTATTCTGGTGCTTGCAGTTGGATCGCATACCTGAAAACCGCTAACATCTACTTCCAGCTGCCACGAACAGTAGGGCAAAAAAACCCAAGAGGTGAGCTAGTCAGAGGCAGCTGCTGCTTGGGATTCCCAGAGACAGAGCACTGCCGGTGTAGGTACCAGATCTGCTCGGATGGTCAGATCTGCTCGGATGGTCAGATCTGCGTATGCCAGTGATGTTACACTACATAGTTGGCTGAATGTTCCCACATGTTATGTAAAACATTGTGGTTGCCCAATAAACGATTAAAACGTCACGCAGCGTCAATGTGTTGAATGTCGGTTAAATGGCAGAGCTCAGTCTCAGTACTTTCCTTCAGGACTGACTATGATTATTTTCTAGTCTCAGCTACTTTAGATCGCAAATTAAATGTAAAATAATAACAAATATCGGTACTAATATGTTGAGACTCCAAAAGAGATTTGATCCATAAGAAAAGGGTGCAATACCGTTTTTTAGAGTGGAGTTGCGATATGTTGACAGGGCATGACCCTGAGCAGGTCTGACCACGTGCGCATAATACATTTTTAAGGCAGGATCGTAATTTTAATGAACTGACTGCACATGACGATGTTTTGAGGTGGACTTAAAAGGTGATACTTAAAAACATTAAAGCTATTTTTTATGCACTGCTCACAGCAAATATAGCAAAGCTGCTTTCTGCTATAATTCATGCATCTGTTCACACTTGAGCTTCAGGAAGATCAAAGATGCTCTTGAGGTGCATCTGACTTTAATGTGTACAAGCATCGTAAATGAAGGAGCAGGCGCTTTTTTTGCTGCTGAACGTAGCATGATTTTCGTATTGACCAAATCTCATTACATCTGTCCTAATAGGAACTTCAGAGCACTCAGCTATGTGAGCTTAATGCTTGGAAAAAAATCTTTCATGCCGTTTGAGACACGATGAAAAGTCAACTAAGTACATAACATAGAGAGGAAAACAACAAGAAAAGGAACAAGAGGACAGGGACAAAGCATAGAACAAATAATGTATGTCTATTTGTAGGTCTGTTTTATGTGTTGTATTCTCAATTCAGAGGGCCCCCTGCCTGTCTTTGTCTTGGGTCCCAACTTTCCTAAATCCGCCCCTGGTTGTTGTACTGCTGATACTAGTCTCACTGGTAGAACCACTGCCCACTTTCGGTCTGTTAATCAAATCCAAACAGAAAAAGTACTATTTCTATACCTTCTTCCAATGTTATGTTTTCTGATGCCAAAATTGAAGCTGCAGCTTCAAGCGTTGTGCATATTGTTGGTTTAACCAGCATGTCCCCCATCTATCACTGAGGCCTAATTCAATCAGGCCCGACATCTCAATCAGCAGTGGGTTGGCTTCTGCTTCTGGCCAGTCACCATGCCACCAGCAGCAGCTTCTACACACCGATGAAGACGCACCCAGGGAGGACATTAAGAAGGCAGAAGGGAACAAGCACAAGCATAGTTAGAGCAAAATGTCAGTGAACAACTAGTCAGGGTGTGAAAAGCTGAATAAAAGGGAAATCAGATGCTTCAGCTACCCCTTGTGTATGAGTGATGTCACTTTGTGTCTGTGCTGCGTGTGTGGTGTTATGTAGGCCATGTGTCTGACCATACATTTGTGTTTCAGCTCCGCCTCAGAGGACCTGGGCTGCAGGCGTGGAGACTTCAGCAGGAAACACTATGGTTCAGTCGAGCTGGTGAGTTCCACCCACGATGTCAAGATTAGCTGCATAGCTCTCTTTGCTTCTGAGCATGAGTCCCCCTCCTCTTTCTCCTCATTAGTAATTCTTTTTTACAATATTCGCTTTCCGTCTATCTGCCTCTGCATCCCTCTGCGATCTCCTCCTATCTTCTCACACCAATGGACAGCAGGGGGGTCAGGGCTGATGAGTCACTGACACTGGGTGTGGTCCATAGATCCGCTTTGCCAGTGTGCATCACAACAGGTGGTCTACTTGCTGTGACGTATGATTCTTCTTGCTGTCCAGCCTCCAAACTTCTTGGCTTTTTTGTTGTTTTCTTTTTTACTCTTCTGTTCTAAAAGTGCTACACAGTGTGGAATTTTGTGGTTGATTAGTAAGATGTTGAGTCACAGCTGTTTGAAGGGATGTGCGTGTATGCGAGGATACTTAATGTGAGCTGTGCATGTCGATGGCCCAGAGGGGACAGGAAGTCTGCAGTGTGATCATACTTCCTACCAGAGACATATTAAGGGTTTGTCTATGAGTCTCACTCACCACGTGGAGGACAGATTAGTGTACAGGAGAAACCACATGTTGCCCTATCAGCACCAGCAGACAGACGCCTCATACAGCTATGCTGGTTTAGAGGGTGTGCATGTGATAAAAGTAGACAGAGAGGGAGTTTGAGATGGCTTGAGGTCACCAATACTACACAAACACAGCTTAAAGTCACACTTTCTTCTTGCATCAAGCATGAGCCTATTAGATTATCAGAAACTTCAATTTAGATTTCATAAATGACGGAGTGATGAGAAAGTTGTGGATGTGCTTGTTGCCTGACATGCAAATTTTGCTTTTGGTGTGAACATACCTTAAAGGCAGTTTCTATGTATTGAGAAAAGGATCCAAAGAAGGAAATCATACATCAAATCTTTTATTTAGGTTTCCTAGAATCTAAGACTGGAAACAAAATGACTGGTTACCTGTGATTTAAGCAATTCCAACTGATAAGGTAACTACAATTTTTTTTGAGACACTGCAATTATTAACTCAGAAGTATTTTAAAGGGACTTTCTTTGACATACCTTCACCAAGTGAAGCTTTACTTTTAAGCGTAAGGATTGTTATGATGAGCCTAGTTAATGCAGCAAATCTTCATTTGGGCTACGATCAACTGTAAATAGGATTTTCTTTAAGAATAGTCAGAAAATATCAGCTGGATTAAGATCTGGACTTTTACTGGGCCCTTCTAACACAGGATTAACCCTCTGATGTGCATCACTCTATAGTAGCTCTGAATGGGATATTATGGGCTGTTGTCATGCTAGAAGGTGAGCCTCACCTTAATAATTTTCAGTCTCTGTGAATTAAAAGTCCTGGAAGGGTTTACTTCCAACATTTTTCTTCATCTAGCTCAAAGCATATTTTATAGCAATTAACAGCTTTCCTACTCCCTGCTGAAAGAAATCATCCTTTGAGCATGATGTCACCAACATACTTTATCAGGGGTGAAATGTTCAGGGTGTTGCACAGTCTTAGTTTACATAGGTTTAAATAAAGACCTTTAAATGCCTGCTATGTAACATATGTGGCTTGGGAAAAACTGTGCTAGGATAATTTTTTTTTTATTACTTACTTTTTTCCTCACCACGTTTCCCTTAAGGACAGATTTGTGGTATGCTACTAGTATTGCTGTTAAGCGTTACATTTCCGCAGCAACTTCACATCCAGTTATCATTTACTTCCTTTCTGCCTATCTGAGTCATTCATGTCTTGATAGGTAAGCAGTTGTGCCACATTCTTCTTGTTATTTTTGGTGATGGACTTAACAGTATTCTGTTACATGGTCAAAATTTGGAATATTACACAACGTAATCTCCTACCTCCCTGCTGTGTTTCTTGGCTTTCATAATAATATGTACAGTAGTCACTGATCTTCTCTAACATACCTTTAATGGTTTCACAGGATACTTTTAGAGTAGGGCTGAAACGATTAGTTTGATTAATCACTATTAATCCATTATTGTAATAATGACCAAATAAATTTAGAAATCAATGAATTGTTAACTAAAGCATAGAGACTTTTAAAAAATGCCATTAGCTATAAGAGCAAGCCAGACAGAGTCGTAATTATCCCAAAATTGTAAAAACCCAATAATTATAAAGACTTTGCATTCTAGATTTTTTTAAAAATGCCTGTCAAAGTGTTCTATTCAGAACAAGTTTAGCAGATTAGATTATCTTCACCTGGTTTAAATTCCATAGAGGATCCTTTTAACCTGTTGCTGTCCAATTATTAATAGATTCATAAAAAAAATAATCATCAGATTACCATATTTTCTGGATTATAGAGTGCACCTCACAATAAGCCACACCAACATACATATAAAAGCCACCGCGGGCTATAAGCCGCAGATATCTACTGGACAGTCTACCACCAAACCTGTAGGGGGAGCTCTACATATCGAACCAAGAGTATAGACGAAGAATGCTAGCTTCCGTTAACTTGTTGGCTCGCAGCAGTAAGAGCTTCAACTGAAAGATGGGGCTTCATTAGCTCTTTATTTCAGCTCTGCAGGAGTTGAACCTGGCCTCTTCATTGGTTCGGCAGCTTTAAAGCGGCAAATGGTTGTCAAAATGTGTGAATTCGGTACATTTGTTCTCCACTGTGCCTGTTGCACTGATATTCTGGTGCTACAGGCACCAGAATACCAGTGCAACAGATTTACAACTTTGACTTCACCTCCTCTGTCCGCACCTTTTGGATCAAAGCGTGGGAAAAAAATAGCGGCTTATAGTCCAGAAAATACGTTAATCAATTAGCAAAATAATCAATAGTTGCAGCCCTACTTCATAGGCAATTATGCACAAGTGGACTTTCTTTACAAATTTGTTGCTACTTAAAGCAACTGGTAGCATTGCGTTTTATTTGGAGGTATCAGAATGGAACAAACTGAATACATATCATGTCATGTCATCATTTTTTGCAGAAAAGGAATGCCTATGTGTCTAATTGTCTTTTCACTTCACTTTGGTTTACTGGTTTGTAAGGGTTTAAAACATGATTAAGTTCATTAAGAAAGCTTGAGGGGTTTAAAAACTTTTCCCAATGCTACACTGATAAGATACCACAACACATTAAGCATATTTTTTTACTGTAAGCTGAAAAAACTTAACAAAGATTACACTGTAGGCTTCAGAGATGCATTAAATCATATTTTTTTCTGGAGTAAGAAATATTTGTTTTAAATATCAAACCCCATTATTGCACCCAGTAAAACTGCTATTTAGTAGTTAACTAATATGATATCTGAAATGATCTGCTATATCAGTCTAATTACAAATAAAATAAAATCAAAGCACAGATTGCAGCTTTGTCCAAATATACAGACAGCTGTCTTAAAAGCTTTAGAGCGTTCCAAACTCTCTGCTTAACATCACAGCAACACAGATGCTATGGAGGAAGCCCACCAAACATACAGATGCATCTTATTGACATGAAATATAGAGATCATTTAGGTTATTGTTTTTATTTTCATGAATATAAATATGCGAGTCACGTTCAGAGGGGTTTGGAGGGAAGGTTTTATACTGCCTTTAGAAGGAATTCTTTTATTACCGTAATGCACCAGAACTCATTCGGCTTGAAGCAATATGCGCTCTAAACTCATTAGGAAAACCATTTCCTTTTTTAAAGTCCAGACAAACAATTATATTCCCTTCCCAAAGAGAAGCAAAGATTTAATTTCTCTTTGAAATCAAGGCTTGAAAAGAGAATGTATGCTTGGCATCATGCAGTGTTCTTCCCTGAGGTTGTTTCTGATCATCAACGTTGGCTTATCAAGCCCTGTCATTAATTTTCCATTACCCACCTCCTCTTCTAATAAACAAGCCACACAGACTCTTATCCCATCAGGACTAAACAGACTCCTGCTGGAAAGGATTTTTTATTAGAGTTGTGAAGGTTTTGTTATGCTACCAGCATATATTTATAAAAAGGAAATTGAATTCAAAAAATGTTTGAATAGTCTTCCACCTGTATAATAGCAAAATACAGTATACTGACTGTATAACATTCAGTTAAACTACATGATCTTCTGGTTGATTACTGCTTCTTTTCATTGAATAATGGAGTACAGCTTCTCACCAATGAAGCTGTTCTTCATGACTTCCTAACTGAGTTTTAACAGCTTCGGGATCACACCTATTCACTTGATGCTCCTAACTTGTTTGCAAGATGTTAGTGGGAAATCCAAAACCTAACAGACACAAAGGGTCAATGTAATGACTCAGAACAGAGGGACGCAGTATTCAGGCAAGACAAAAAGTGGGATAACTTAAAAAATGTGTAAAGCAGCAATTAACAGTTTGCGGATCTGAAGCTGCAGCGGCTAGGGTGTCCAAGGCAGGTAACTCTGGTTTAGAGTCCATCCCCAAAGAACGAGGTTGATACCAGCCGGACCAGACGACGAAGCCTAGAAGGAAACAGAATTGACACGAGATCAGATCCAAGCAGATGACGGAGGAAGGCAGGATAATCCAAAGGGCAAAGACAGGTCAGGCAAACAGGTCAGAGCAGGGGCCGGCAGGCTCAAAGGTCTGAAGACAGAGCAGGTGGATCAGATGAGCACTGATGAGAAAACCAGGGAAAATTGGACAGGTAAATAAAATGAGCAATAAACCAGTCATTGGTACCAAGATCATCAGAGCCAATTGTGTATGGGAATCTGAATTTGTGGTTGTAGTTTTTTTTTTTTTTTTTTTTGAAAAAAATATTTGCAAACTCCAAGTGTCATAAAGCTCTACATAAGAAAAATAATAAAGCAATGAATTGAACAGCATTAACTAACGTACACTGAAATACAAACTTGTATGTCATTACTTTGTATTACTTTGTCTTTGTTATTGTTAATGCCATTTCGCTGCATTGGTTCCACTAAAGCCTAATGTTGAGTCTATGGTGTGTGCTTTCCTATGGTAGAAATTATCACTGAACACCCAACTCCCCACATATG